TGACCCATTGTTGTTGGCTGATCGGGAAATGTGTTTTAGGCTGAGTGTGTGTGACCATGAGGTGTGGTGGTGTGATTGCGCAGTGAGTTCGCGTGCCAAGCATGGGTGTTCGTGTGGTGTTCGTGTGATGAGGATGTGCATTGCGAAGTGTGTGTGGAGTGTGAAATAGTGGGTGACCGCGTGTATGTGTGGCCGTGTGGTAAGTGTGGCACGTGAGGTGCAAAGGTATGGGAGTGTAGGATTGGTTGGAAAAAGGTCCGTCCTGAGGCGTGTTCATTTACGCGGGACGATGCCGTCCCTGACGAGGTGACGATGCCCGGCTCGACGGGGTGTCGATGCTTGACGAGGTCAGAAGACCGTGGGCCTGATGCGTTTTACGCGGGCGCGGAGAAGTGAGAAGGTAGGATTCCGTCCTGAGGCGTGTTCGTTTACGCGGGACGATGTCATCCCTGACGAGGTGACGATGCCCGGCCCGACGGGGTGACGATGCTTGAAGAAGTCAGAAGACCGTGGGCCTGATGCGTTTTTCGCGGGCACGGTAGTGGTGGGAAAGTTGAGAATAAGCTGGAATTGGCTTGACGTGTGAGGATTGTGGAAGCGGACGCATGGCGTGATGTAGTGCGCGATTATGGGGTAAAAACTGCTAGGCACGGTATGGGACGTGCTCAAGTGGGTTTTGCCTTATAATCGAGGCTGGCGTGAGTTCGTGTGCGAGTGTGGCTTGTATCGCGTATTGTAGTGCTCGATTATGAGGTAAAAACTGCTCGGCATGGTATGAGACGTGCCCGAATGGGTTTTGCCTTATAATCAAGGTACGCGCGTGGTTGTGATGCTTTACAGAGATATGTTCGCTGTGTGGTTATCTAACATGCAGGGACGTGCATGATGGGTCCCAGGTAAGATTGTATGTGGTTGTTAGTTTGGTTGATCGTTGGGCGTTATGCATGTTTCGTCTGGCGGTACGTGAGAGCCTATGTGGGATTTGGGGTTATACACTTATTGAGATTCGTCTCATAGTTGTATAATCCACAATTTCAAACCCCCAACCTTAGACCCAGGAGGCCCACCTCCTCTTTTTGGAGTTTAAAGAGCCGCCCATGGTGCCCAATGGAGCTGCAGGTGATCCTCCGGAGCAGAAGCCAGAAGACTCCGGAACAGATTGGAAGAGGGCGACCAGTAGTTTCCCCCTAGGGTATTTTAGGGGTTGCGCAGAATAAATCGATCTATAGTGAAGTTAAGTTAACCAAGCCATCTGATCCTTTCTGTTGTTTCGGTGGTTTCGAATGCTAGTTTGCTAAATATATTTGTAAGACGATGTTTGTATGCTTGATGCTATGGCATTGTATAAATGAATGTTGTTGTTCTTTGAATGTCTTGGTGATCTGCCCCATCGTCGTCTTTATAGTCAGGGGTTTTATATTCGCTTCCGCATGTGTTTCTAATATTTGGGTTGAGTCGGCGATGTTCCTGGGACGTCGCAATAATTCGACCAAGGAGCGGGATGTCGCGAGCTCGATGGGGTTCGGGGCGTGACACTCGAAGAGATGTTTTGATATTATCCCACTGCTTTGTCAGTCCTCTCAGTAGTTTTTTGACTTTCATCGCATCTGGGACTGGTTGTCCTTGATATGCAAGACCGTTTACAATGTCGACAAACTGTCATACATATCGAAAGCGATTCTTCAGGGCTTCATATTGACCAAGCAAAAGATTGATTTGAGTTTCCATGGCTCGATCTGTTTCTTCATAAGTAGTGTGGAGAGTATCCCAGATTTCCTTGGCTGATTCACAAGCAGCAATTTTTTTATATTCAATAGGTGATAAGGCACAATAGAAAGAATAAATTGCTTTGGAATCTAAGGTTTCTCTTTTGGATATCTCAGTTTGAGATAATGGAGGATCTGCTGCTTTGCTTGCATCTGCCTTTTCTTTTGAATTAGAATATTTTGGATTGACTCCTCTGATGATGACATCCCATTGCATGTGATCAATTGACTTTATGAATGCATTCGTCTTATTCTTCCAGATACTATATTCCTTGCCATCGAAATATGGTGGTCTATTGTTGCTTTGTCCTTCAATGAGCCCTGAAGCACTCAAGCTAGCCATATAGATCGTTAGCTCAGAAGTAAAACACTTCAATAAATGAGCAACCTGCTCTGATACCAATTGATGTAGCTAGCAAGGATCGCCTAGAGGGGGGTGAATAGGTGATATTAAACAAATTTTGAAAAATTTATGCGGAAATGAAAGAACACATTTGAGTCTGAATAAAATTCAGATTCAAGTATATTATATTAGACAGTGCTCTTGATGTGCAAAATATAAATAAAGAGATAAGGGATAGAAAATCTGCACACAAGTTTATAGTGGTTCGGCTTATAGCAAGCCTACGTCCACTCTCCCACGCTTACAGCCTACTGGCTGGATTTCACTATGAATTCAAGAGGAATTTACAGATTCTGAGTGATAGCACTCTTCTGTATGATAGGACTCTCTATCTCACACAGTCACTCTTACAAAGTAATCCTCAAGATCTTAACTTTTGGCTCAGAAAGACAAGAGAAAATGATTGGAGTATGCTCAGACTTTGGACTTGTTGATTCTTGAATCTGTTCTTCCTTCTGCTGCTCGTTGATCTCCTTAAATACTCCTCTACTTCCAAACTAGCCGTTGGACAGCATTCAGAGGATCATCTTCCAATCTTCACCTTGACAGATTTGTATAGAAAGGATTGAGTAGCCGTTGGATGACGAGTCCGAATCCCGCGATTCTCAGTCGCCCATACAATCGAATCTTGGTTTTCATAAGTAGAGCGTTATCCGTTGTAATGCATACTTGTCGTAGTATTTGATTGTCAATCAATTATAGCCTTAGATTGAAACAATCAAAACTTTCCTTCTGTGAAATCCATACCAGCATCACTAGTTTGTTTTGTTTCGTTACGACTCGTGCGAAGAAATTCAACGTGCCGCATCCGAAGAACTTCTGCGTCTCAAGCGTCGAAGAACTTCGTGCCCGTTTCGAATAATTTCTCCGTCCGAATCTTCAGAACTAAGATTATGTGGGTCTTCAATAAGGTATTTACCAGCTTGTAAAGTTTGAAAAACTTCCTTCTGAGCTTCCATAATATATATACATTCCTGGAATAGAATAGTTTAGAATAAGTATCAGATTTACAATAATATGGAAGGTTTTGTCAACTTCAAAATCAATAGGAGTTTTCCTCAACAAAAGATAGTATCCAAAAGTCACTTTAGACAAGCGTGGTGCCCAAAACCAAGATCTTAGTGTCATACTGAAAAAGATGCTGAAAAGAACACTACAAGTGTCATAACTTTCTTACGGCGTTCACTTGATTGTCATAACTTTTTCCCCGATCACTTAAGTATCATATAATTTGTCAATCGATTACTTGAGTGTCATAAATTTTTTAAAACGTTCACCACAAGTGCCATGCCACGTCGGATTTTCGACACTTGGATGAATGCTATTAAAAACTTATGGCACTCAAATGATCAATTGAAAGTTATGACACTTAAATAAACGTTTTTTAAAAGTTATGGCACTTAAGTGACAAAAAAAAGTTATGATACTCAAGTGAGTGCCGTATAAAAATTATGGCACTTGTAGTGTCCTTATTCTGAAGAAGATGCATTTAACATAGCATTGGCTCAGCATTCTTAACCTACATTGGTAATCTTCCCATAGTTTGAAGCTAGATTGATTCCCGTACATTTAGATGCAACATTCAAGAACCCTATTAGCAATTTTTTTATTTACCTTTCCCTCTTTTCGTTGGGTGAGACTTTCGTTAAACATGAAACATGCTTGATCTTGCTGTTTGGCCTGAACAGTCCCATCATGCATGCCGGTAGCCGAGGAATCGTCAAGAAGTGTCGAGCGAGTTGTCACTGGCAAACCTTTACGGCCATGAAAGCTTTGTTGGAGAAGATCTCCAAATGAATTTTAATGATACCCAAACTGTCATTAGTATAATTTCGACATTTTCTAAGTGCAAATATATTCAAAGGACTGAGTGATACTCAAGGTGTAATTCATTGAAGAAAAGATCACGAGACTATTCTTGAAGGATCATATAAATAGCACCATCAATCACAAAGATCAGTTAAATGACGATGTCTCATTAAAGCTGAAGAGATCAAGTAAATGGTAATGTTTAGGTAACGGATCATTTAATATGACTCTTATCTCACTATTATAGCCGTTGTTGACTAGACTTGCATAGCAGAAGATCTGGTAGAGAGGAGAACAATTCGTCTGACAGATTGTCAGAGTCGCAGCTACAGAAGAGCAACAGAAGCTATTTCATGAAGGTCTACAGAAGTTCCGAAAAAGGCTGTATGGGCAATCAGTTTCTAGGATAGCAGCACCAACAACTCTAACATCTATCTTGCCTCTCTAAGACATCATCAACGATCATATTGAAGATGCATATAAAAGAGAAAGTCTTTTGAAGTCAAAAGAGAGAGAGAGAGTGCTCATAAGATTCCAGAAATCTGCTACATGCAGCTCATGTCTGTTTATAGAACTTGCTGTATTGTAATTGTGTTGAAAGATCAAGTGTATCAAGCAATAGCTACACCCAACTCCTGATAGTGTGATCTATCAATTGATAGAAGTGGTGCATGCTGAGTATAACTTGTTCAGCAATTTACTAGTGCAATCTAGCCCAACTTGTGACTATTAGTGGTAAGAGTAGACGTAGGCTTGGAATCAAAGCCAAACCACTATATATCCTTATGTGCAGCTGCTTACTCTTTTGTTTATCATTTTTAGCACACAAGTGAAACATTGCTTCTCATATATCTAGTGAAACCCGATATTTACTTATTACACGCTGTTTTCCGCGAAAGTTTTTAAAACCTCTAAAGCAACCTATTCCCCCGGCGAAAGTAATAAGCTATGTAGTCTACTCATCCGGCGAAAATATTCTGAACAGGGAAGATCACAGCCCTTCTCGTGTAAATGGATTCTGATGCTAGTAGTAGCATTTATTCATCGAGCAATTATTAAAACACAGTAAAAATTCAGACCTTGTTCTTCATAACAAAACCGACACTTCACCAACAAGAAGCACCTCCAAATCAATATGCCATTTTATTTGCTCCTAAATTTCTAACCTGGAGCTCAAATTTCATGACAGAACCTGGCTGGTAATCATGCTGGTGTCACTAAACAAACATAATGAGCCAATAATCGAGCTTTAAGGCACTTTCAATGCTCATGAAAGATATCATTAACGCGTGATGCTCGAGTGCACAAGTCCCCAAATCAGCCAATTCCGGTGATTATAACATAACATCAACCTCTCGCAAGAAACAACAGCATCTGAAATTTTCTGTAAGTATTTTAACTCGAGTATGTCCTAAACAATTCATACCTGAAAGAGGAGATCCATCTACCCGTCTGGTTATTGTGGAACACGTGAGAAGTCTTCCTCAAAATTGTCCCCACTCGCTATACATACAGTGTCGTCAAAACTGCAAGAACAAGCCAACTATCTTATTAAAAAAAACCAAGATAACCTTAAAACCTCAACGGAAGTTACTGAAAAGAAAGACCCGGTAGTCCACTTGAAGTATAAAATATAAAACACAATCAGGCTTTTAACAACCATGCAGAAGTCCAAATTATTATTCCATCCTATGAAGTCATTGCAACTGACCTTGTCGTTGCAAGGCAGCTGCCAGAAGGAGAAAAATAAGCAGAATGCACGGCCCTTCCATGTTCAATAACCTTTAAACTCTTCGGATTTTTAGCACCCATTCTCCTTAAATCCCAAATACAAGCAGTTCCTTCTGAAGAACTTGTTGCAAAGACAAAGCAATCTTGTGGTTTAAAGTCTATGGTGTTGATTCTATCTTCATGCAGAGCCCACAAAGCAGTGGATTTTCCAACCCTCAGATCCCAGATATTTAAACCTCCACGACCCTCACCAAAATACAAGCAGCTTCCATCATTGGGTCGTTGAGAGAGAGAAAAGATAGCATCATCACTTGCATGTACCAAATCAAATATCTCTTTCTCGACATCCATCATGCGGACAAATCCATCATAGCAGCAGGTAAAAATCTGAACAAAAGATCAACCATCATAAATTCGTTTAAGAGCATATGTGCCACATAACTCAACATACACGAATTACATAGATTGGAAACCAAGCTAAAACGTACTTCAAGATCATTACCATGAACAGTGGTTATAAGAACTTGGGATGGTTGCCCCTCTTGGGGAACTCATGGTTCACACAAGTATCATATATGCTTTGACACGTGTATAGCATATGTAATTTTCACAAATTAAGAAAATTTGAATCAAACAACAGCAATGATGGAAGTTGAGTTCCGATACAGCTAATCTGTATTTTGACAAATCTGATAACCTTTCAAATTTGGATTCAGTTTCATTTCTTTTCACAGGGCAGTGAGGAAATAAAGTTTCCGGATGTTAAGAATATGTAAGAGAAATGTATAATCGGCACTAAACAGGTCACTATGTGTATAGCTCAAAAAAGCAATGAAATGGTGCTAACACAAACAAAAAAGTACAATGCGAAATAATTCAATAATCATATATTGAATCCAACCGGCTGACAGGAAACTGATCAATATAGAATTCATGGTCAGCATGAAGCACATAAACATGAATTCCTGCTTTAGTTCCAATCGCATATCCACATTCCTGCTCCTCACAAAGGTGCTTTCAATTAACTTTATGCTAGTCATGGAAATTATTCGTAATTCGACATAATACTGAGAACAAAAGGATAAATCGATACTGACAACTGGAGAATAAAAAGGTACTAAAGAAGCATCAGAACTACCTTTGCAATGTTGAATGGTTGGATTGAGATCCCTCCAATTGGACCAGAATGCGGGTGGTACAAGTATATGCCATCTCCCTCCTCTTTCTCGGGATCCATATTCCAAAACCCGACATTTCCGTACTTGTTTCCAACAGCCACCATTCTCAGTTCGGTGGTGGGGAAGAACTTCACCACCATCACCCTTCCAGGGACAACTCTAGCTACATTGTCCTCCTCCAGTATCAAAGAACTAATGAACTCTAAGGAATCAACGAGACCTTCTCTCTTAATTCCATAACCCGACGAGTCCTCCATTTTCAGTGTACTAATGAACTCTGACGAATCCTCGGTCTTAATGCCTTCTCTCTTGAGCCGGCCGCCTAATGAATCCTCAGTCTTGATGTCTCCACAACCTAGACCTACCGAGTGCGCACTCACACCAGCGACTGAATCTCTCAAAACCTCGTCTTTGCACCCCTCAACTCCACCACTTCCCTCTTCGACCGAACCCCACATCTCGGGTCTCTTCGAGAGACGCCGCATAGCCCGAACGAGCCCATCCCGGGACCCCAGACCTTCGTACGCGTCGCCCATAGAGAAAGACCCCAAATCCCGGGGCGGCGAGAACTTGGGGTTCGACTCTGGGGCTCGAGGGGCCGCGTCACCGAAGTCGCCCTCGAGACCCTCGGAGTCCGGCGGCATCCCTCTGGCGCGGAGCGAGCGCCGAATAACGACCGGGGCCTCGTCTTTAGCCACCCTGTACGTCTTGACCGCGCAGGCTTTGGCCTTGTTCTCGACCCTGACATCGACAAAAGCGCACGCATCACGCGCACGAACGGAGCAAACAACCAAAAAGGCACCCGAGGATTGCTACAAAAAAAAAAAAACACGAGGCCAAATGACGAGAGAGAGAGAGAGAGAGAGAGAGAGCGTGCGTGCGTGCGTGTGTACTTTTGGCGCTTGGAGGAAGCGGAGAGCAGGGAGGCCTTGGAATGGAGCTGGAGGGCGGCCATCATCTGGTCGTTTCGCTGGATGTTCTCGAGCCTCCGGCGCTCGTACTCCGTCAGCTTCTGGGTCGCCATTGCAGAGAAAACTCGCCGCACGCAGAGTCGAAGCGACAGAGAAGAGAGAGAGAGCGCGACAGAGAAGAGAGAGAGGCGCCACAACACTTCCCTCCAATTTTCTCTCTCTCTCTCTCTCTCTCTCTCTCTGAACTGCAGCTTTTAAGAGGCGGTTTCGTTGGGCGGCCCAATACAATTCCCTCCATTTCCCTCCCCAGATGTTTTCATCTCTCTCTCGCTCTCTCTCTCTAATCTCTTTTTCCTTTTGCATTTATCCAATTCCTTGGAATCATATTGAAATGCTTTCATCTCGTTTTCCCAATTATCTTTGCAAAAAGGACATCAAGATAATAAAAAGTTTATTCAAACGAAATCTCGAGATAAAATATACCCGCAATTACTCGTAGCCGGAAAAAAAAAAAAATACGCCATCGAAGTATTGATCATGAATTGAATCTCCCTTATTTGAGCTGTCTCGATTCCGCCGCCGTACGGAAATGTTGTAAACTTAAATTTCCAAAGGCTTCTATCCACCCGTTTTTCTCTTTATAGTCGAATATTTTATTTTAAATTACTTGCGCGATCCTCAAATTTCGATAGTACTACGCTGGGTATCCCCTCGAATTAAGCCAATCAAACCGGGAGGAGATGCAATGACTAGTCAATTGCAGATTTTGCCAACTACAAACAAAATCAACACGCAATCGAATCCATAACAACTTTATTCCATCGGTGAATCTATTGAACAATTACAAGTAATAGTTTTGAAATTTCACTAGATGGCGAACTTAATCATGCAACGGTTGCGACAAGCCTCATTTGTGGATGGGACTAGGTGCAGATGGTGGGATGGGGGTGCCCTTAGGCAAGGTATGGTACGGAGGACCGCATTTGTGGCGGCAGCTAGGGCTAGATGGTATGGTGGGGCCGCCCTTAGGCAAGATCCGGTAGTGAAAATGAGTTGCTTCGCCTTCTTCTCCGACGCCGGCACTACCTTCTGTGACCAGGTCTCTCGCCATTGTTGTAGAAGCTAAGCCAAAAGCTACAACGAGCATGAGGAGGATCGTCCATTTCAAATTCGCTCTCTCCATTGTTTCTTTCTTCTTCTTTTGTCCTAATAGTTTTCTCCCAAAAGTATATGCATGACTCTTTCTCTTGTATGGCTATTTATAGGTACGAATTCTATTGAAAAGGATGCCATCTCTATATTGCGTGTTATGATGTTACTCATGTGTAGTGTTAGAGTTTTAGATTTGTTTCTAGATCTTATAGATGCAAATTAGCACAAGTTATTCGACATACTTCCTTATATACATGACAATTTCCATCGAGAGCCAGATTCTAAATCAATCCTTCTATGGAATCCATCTGCCATTACTTCATTCCCTTTTTCAACACATACAAATCCCGCTTAAACTTTGATCTTTACATTTCGGTAATCACATGATTTGCCGTAGAAAAGTATTTCAATAACTCACCTGTCATCTTGCTTTTCATTGTGCCACATTGCTCCTGAAGCTCTCTTTTGTTCACCATTATAATGGGTTTCCTTTATTAGCTCGGTAACAAAGAGAAACAGTGTTGTGCTTGCTAGCATGAACTTGGACCAGACCAAGTAAAGTTGGATTCCATCCTAACGATACTTGTATGTATATAAAGTTGAAGTTGCTCCTCGTAACTCTGTCATTATAATCACAAGGAGGGCCATACATTCAAAATAACTACAATTTCATGTTAGCTCGTTTGGTTTTTTCACAAATCCAAGTATTTTACCCAACAATCCTATCATGAATTTTTAAAAAACCGAAGAAAGATTTGGTTAGCATTTTAGATTTGAGTTATGCATGATATTGACTACCACACAAATCCTAAACGTATTTGAATATTTGGATTAAAGAAGCGCCGAGCGAGCCTATATCTGGCAAACCTTTGTAGCCATGAAAGCTTATTAATGCAAGATGGATAGCACTAAAATGAAGGTGTTTATACCCCTGCCGAGTCCACCGTCGTGGGAACTCGGACGGATTTAGTGGGTCCGAAACTGCTCTAGTTGAGTTGCAAGAACAAGATGTTGGTCAAAGCGAGTAGACTGCACATGCAAGTTAATTGTTTCAACCTGATGCTTCTCTTATTTTTAGCCAAAAAATTGCTTCTTTTGTTGTTTAATGTTAGACCTCCATTGTAAGCCAACTTGGAACGACACTCGATATAAAATATACTTACAATTACTTAGTTGGAAGAAAATTCCACGGAAGTGATGATTACGAATGTCCTTCTCTTATTTGGCTCGACCCTGTCGCAAAGAATTATCATAAGTTTAGATTTTCAAAGGCTTTTGTCTATCCATTTTCCTTTTAAAGTCGAATACTTTAGGTTAGATTATTTGTAGGCCCCTCCAATTTTAAGAAAACAACGCATTGTATTCTATCCAATAAAACAAATCAAACCAAGCAGAGATGGCATGACTAAACAATCACAGATTTTTGCCAAGTACAAACAAATCAACTCGCAACTAAATCCCAAAATCTTTATTTCATCGGTGATTCTATTTAATAGTTATTAGTATTTGTTTCAAAATTTCACCAAATGGCGGCCTTGCTTATCCAATGGTGGCTACAAGCTGCAATTGTGATGGCAACCACGTCCAAATGGTGGAACGGGGGTTCGAGGCAAGATTCGGTAGTGAAAATGTGTTGCGTCACCTTCTTCTCCAACACTGGAACGACCTTCTGGGACCGGGTCTCTTACATTTGTTGCGGGGAGAGAAGCTAAGCCAAAAGCCAAAATGAGCATGAGGAGGGATTGTCCATGAGCATTTCAAAATAGCTCTCTCGATTGTTTCCTTTTTAATAATTTTCTCCCAAAAGTATATGCGTGACTCTTGCTCTAGTATTGCTATTTATAGGTACGAATTCTATTGAAAAGGATGCCATCTGTATATTGCTTGTTATGACGCTACAAATGTGTAGGGTTAGAGTTCTGGATTGGATGTTACTATAATTGATAGATGCAAATTAGCACAATATATAATTATATATATACGCGCATGTGCGGTGACAAATTCCCTTGAGCCAAATTCAAAGTCATTCCTTTTATTTAATTCTCCCACCACTGCTTGGATCTCATTCTTAGAATATATGCCCCACATAAATCTTGACTTTACAATTAGGTAATCACACAATTTGTTATAGAAAAGTATTTCAAATAACACACTTCCCATCTTGCTTTTCATCTCGTCCAACGTTGCTTGCGAAGATCTCTCTTGTTCGCTGTTTTGATGGATTCAATTTATTAGCTCAGTTACAATAAGTTTAAAAAAAAAAAAAGGTGTTGGGTTCACGTGCATGAGCTTGGACTGAACCAAGTCAGCATGAAAGAGAGATTTCGTGGTGAGACTGCTTTCCCGGCCAATTTGGCTGTGGAAATAGCAACTTCCCCTAATTGTCAAAAGGGTCTTTTTAAAATTAATCAATAGTGGAAATAATTCCTCACAGAACTCCTTGAAAATGAAATAATTACGCTTTTTAAAAAATTCACTCACTTTAAAATTATATTATATATTTTCAAAGCACATATAATAATATTTAACTAGTGCCTAAGAAGCATTCTTTAATATTTTCTTTGTTGAAATTAGTGCATAGATTTTAGGGTTATTCGATTGTTTCAATCTAGCAACTCTAGATCGGTATAAAAAAAAAGGGATAAGTGTACATGAAGTTCTAAAAATTGTCATGAAAGTGCAATTGAGCCCTAAAACTTTCAAAAAGTGAAATTAAGTTCTAAAACTTGTTCAGAAGGTACAATCGAGTCCTAAAACTTTGAAAAAGTGCAATCAAGTCCTGAAACTTGTCATGAAAGTGAAATCCAGTCCTAAAATTTTCAAAAAGGGAAATCAACAGAAGAACTTGATTAGATCAATTTTACAAGTTTTAGAACTTGATTTGCACTCTATGAAAATTTTAGGACTCAATTGTACTTTTGTGATCGATTTGAGCGCTTAATTGCACTTTTTGAAAGTTTTAGGATTTAATTGCACTTTCGTGATAAGTTTTAGGATTTCCAATGCACTTATCCCAAAAAAGATGTGGGTAAAAAGGAGAGAAAGATAAAGAAAAGTGTGGGTAAAAGTAAACGCTCAATCTACTTACGGATGTTATTGGTTTTTCGGTAATTTGAGCTCAAAGGAATTCTTGTAGTTCCGATATTATGTATAGGCAAATAAAAGGTACGGGAGAATTATGGTGTAAAGTTTCCCAATTAGTATCTGATTTGTGTCCTTACTAATAAATTGTGGATAATTTAACTCGGATCTTGCAGAAAATATAAATTGAAATCTATTTCTTTAATTCACCTCTAAGTTTCCAAATTGGTCTGGCCATAAAACATTCCATACTAAGTTTTGTTAGAGGTTAACCACAAACAAGAAACCCTAAATCATGCCACTGTGACATCAATATTTCAATTTTTTTATGTCACCAAAAACCCTTAACATATGCCCATTGCGATACTAACACCTCAAATATTTTATGTCACCAAAGCTCATAAACTATGCTTACACTGGCTTAAGTTTGGGGTATTGTTGAAATAAAAAAGAATTAGGTTATTAGTGTCATAGTTGGCAAAGTTTAAGGTATCTGGTGTAGACAATGGCTATTTTTTTTTACCACAATGGTACAAGTTTAGGGTTTTGCTGACACCAACAAAATATAAACCCCATAATCAAGTCAAGCGATGTGGTATATGGGAACACTCTCTCATGCACTTAAGCAGGATTAGAAATGACACTTGAAATTTGACTAAGAGGGTCGATGCACGTGCCAAATAAACTGGGGCAAAAACCGATACCATTTTAGAAAGTCAAATCCAAAAACTTAATTATTAGGTGGAGGAAAACCATATATATACATGTATAGATATTAAGAACATATAAACCCCATAGTCATGCGCTATGATTTCTTTTTTAACATAAGTACTAATTTTACATGGCATAGTTTAATGGTTTTTGTGGCATTTTCCCTTTTCTTGATATTGGTATCTAAATTAGTGTAATGCACATGTACATTTGAATCGTTTATAGCAA